ATAATATAATATAATATAATATAATATAATATAATATAATATAATAAATTAATATAATAATATAATATAATATAATTAATATAATATAATATAATATGTTAAAATCATAAAGATAATACCATAATTAAAGAAAAAAGTGAGTGAATTACCTAAACTATTTTGGGTCTGTAAATAGCACTATAATTAGCAATTTACAAATAGTAATAATATTGGTAACTGCCTTACCCTATATTCGAAATCCGCGAACTCCCTGCCACCACGGCCACCTCTGAATCCACCACGAAAACCCCGAGGAGCATTGAAGGGTCCTCTTGTGTTTCCACGTCCTCTACCTGACCGGAAGCCACCAGCTCCTCCACTTCCCCCTCTGCCTCTGAATCCCCGACCACGGTTTGGACGCAGTGGAATTCCAAATGTCTCTGCATTTAGTCTTCTTTCCTCTGCCCAGTTTGGTCTTCGATCTCTGAAAGATACAGAAGTGACGCGTTGCTGTTGTTTCAAGTTACGACCAATTTCTTCATTACAAAAGATACTTCCACCAAATGACCACTAGGAATGCCAGAGTTACTTAGCAAAATGAAAAGTAAAAACTGTACTACACCATACAGGTTCTCAAACCTTTAGCAGTGGACACCCAAAGGAAAAGAGACAGGTGAATTTAGAAATGGCAACATCTCCAGGAATGGGGAGTAACTTGGGAGAGAACTGAGATCAGAAGGAATTCATTAAACTGTTGATAGACTGATGCAGTGCTAAGAAGTCTCTCAAATGTTAAAAAAAAAAAACACGGGTTGCACCTTTTTGCAAGAGAAAAATGATGAAACAACCTCGTCCACTGCCTCAGCCTTGGATTTTGAGAGAACCAGAAGTCTAAATCTCATTACCAGACCTGCCATCTTCAGCATACACTGCTTTGCTGGCATCCTGCCTTAAAATGCGCGCGGGGGGGGGGGATGGGGAAGTAGGAGAGGGGTTATGCTGTAACCACTTCACTTTAGTAAAAGTAAACTTTTCACTTCAAAAATGGAGTTGAGGGTCTTTCTTTCCTAAATGCTCAAATCGGGACAAACCTGACACTCAGAAAACTCCATTTATGTTTCACAAGTCCTGCAGCAAAATGAGTAGAGTGGAATGAACTGTAGCATGCCTGAACACAGAAGAAAGATTATACTTATAAAAACAAGGTACTAGTATTCGCATAAGATAGAAAGCATTTTTAATTGCAGACACTGCAATCAAAAATTGCACCCACCTACATGATGGACTAGTCCAGTTCATTCTACTGCCTTCATTCTGCTTAATGTGAAAAAGAAACTTCAGTTCTCTGTTCACATTCAAAATTCTGGCTCAGACATGCTACCTGTCAGGGCTCAAAGGAATGCCATGTGTAGCTTGCTCAGAAAAACTTGGTACCTGTTGTCATCACAGGAAATGTTATCAAAGAAAGACTTGGTTTTGTCATAGTAGCAATTGGGGCCAAGTGGATCCTCATCATCTGCATTGCCTTCACTGTTTTGGGTGTCAACACCTGAATCGCCTTTATCTTCCCCATTCACAGGTTTTTCAGGCTTATCCTCTAGAAAATGAAGAGGGGAAAAGACTTGGAAAGAGGAAAGAAAAAAGACCATCTTCAATGACCATTCTAGGAAAATAATCCCTGAAGAAAGGCAGATAACCATTTAAATCCACTATCACTGCCTGATCTTCTTGGGTGCAGCTGCTTTCAATGACTGCAAACAACGCTGTCAGATGGGGGAAGGGAACCCCAAAACTGGGAAGAGACACAAAATGATTCTTTTGATTTTCTCTGTTTCTTTTCGTACTCTTTTACTACACTTTACCATATTCCTGTAAGCAGCAAAAAACTAAAGTTACACCAGGACAATCAGCTAGGTCCAGATTTAGTTAGATTCAGAATCAAACCACTTGAAATCATGCCATGATGATTTTCAATCTATTCTAAGCATGACTGGCATGAACTGAACTCACTGAAAACTCTATAATTACATTCTATTAATTGAGACTGTTTGGCTACTTAAATCTGGTGCATACACAGTTGCATTTTAGAATGTAAGACAACTTTGCAAATTACTTTAGGGAAAAGGAAAATTATGTAAGAGAAAACCCAAAGATTTGAATATGTCTAAATGAAACCTCTCTTCAACTTAAAAACACCCATAACTCTTAACTCCAAAGTCAGCAAGCCTCATAAAAATAAAGAGGCTGTGTTTACCACTTACCTTTCAGTTTTAGCTTATTATGAAATTCACGATCTATTTCATCTTTATTAAACTGTGCATTTGCACTTTCAAAGTCAAAATCCTTCTCAAACTTCATGGGAACATCCCGCCTAATACCAAACCTTCCTCGGCCTCCCCGGTGACCTCCCCGACTCCTCCGTGAAGGTGCACCTGGAACTGCAACAACAACAACAACAATCAGGCACCGCTGATTTTCAGGTTTTGGTAAACAGCATCCTCAAATGATGTTCAACACTGACCAATGGGCAATGTTCTGTTTGCTAATATTAATAATGTGAAACAACTTACTGGTATATCTGATGTCACCAGGTAAGATCAATTTGCTGAAGACATACTGAATGTTTTATTTTGGATTAATTAGCTTAAAAAGTCACAGAAATCATGAATTAACGTCTTCCATAAGACTGAAGATTGTTTTACTCCTCAATCATTTCAGGATCAAAAATATTTGCATTTTGGCCGAGACACAAACTCAAAAGTCACCAGTGATGAAAACATACTAAGTAACCTTAGGAAGGAAGCTTATGATCAAGCCCTGCTCCTCCTCCCCCCACCCCCCCACAAAAAAAATCTCTCAGGAGAGGAAAGAAGTTGCTTTTTCTCTTTCACAAACAACATCCTTGTAACGTCTGAATAAGGAGCTGGCTGTTTGTGAATCAGGACTGAAATCCACTTGGGTCCTGATCTGTTCCAATCGGCATTGGCTGAAACAAGCCCCATCCCTGTGTTCAGGGACATAAAATGCAAGGCGTTCTATCCAGTTGTTCTCATATCCAAAGGAAGCAGAAAATGGTGGTGGTGGAGGAATCGTCTTATAATCTCAACCCTTTAAAGCTGGGAAGGACTTTTATGGCATCTTTGGAGCTCAGCCTATGGCAGAATGTTTTTATTTTCAAAAGTGATTTCATTTTACCTATTGGTCGCTTGTTTTCATGTCTTAGATGTTCTGCTTCACATCTTGTCACCTTCTGTGCTTCAGCTAGAAATAGAGGAAATGCCAATAATACTTATAATAAATAATTATAACTAACAGATTAATAATTCTGTTTAGCACAGAAACACAGAATTGATAGCAAGTGCAGTAGGGGTTTGTGAGAAGGCCATCTTGTCCACTGCTTTAAATGCAGAGGTACAAGATTTTCTGTGCACATTTCAAGTGGTACATATCAGAAACAGCACCTGTGCCTTTTGACCCCTGGACAGAACGAACAGGGTCTGGGAATGCTTCAGTCTCTGCACAAAGTGCACGTGGTTCTCGATTAACCACCATTTGCTCTGTGACCATTTGAACTTGCAATGGTGCTGAATGAGTGGTACTTAGAAATGGTCAAAATTATGGCCGTCGCAGAGCCTCTGTGGTTGACATGAACGCAGTTCAGGTGTATAGCAATTAGCCTGGATTCCACCCATCACAGTGTCACTTCACTGTGATTTGTGACCTTACCTGCTGCTGGTTTCCCACAAGCAAAGGCAATGGGGAAGCTGGGATCGTGTGAGGTCCTTGCTTACTGATGGTGCCTGAGGCCTGCTGATTGCCATCACTAAGTGCTGTGGTGCAGTGAACCCCATTGCTTAGCAATGAATATTCTCGCCCCAATTACTGCCTGTATTTTAGCAGTGGAAAAGTCAAGGTTGGTGGGATATACTGCATTGGTATAACAGTAGTGGCCAAAAGGGGGGGGAAAGGTGCTGGGGAGATCAGGGTGGGGAGCCAGTGCCATGGGGGCAGGTGAGAGATGTTGCCCTCTTAGTTCCTGAGGAGAGAAACAGGACAGTGTGCGCTTGCCTTGCCCTACTCACCCCATCAGGCTTTGTCTCATCTGGGGCCTGGGAAGAAATCAACATATTCCTGGTTTTATTTCTGCCAAACTCTGGTTGACTCTAAAGCGGAGGTCCCCAAACTTGGCAACTTTAAGACTTGTGGACTTACACAGCTGGCTGAAGAATTCTGGGAATTGAAGTCCACAAGTCTTAAAGTTGCCAAGTTTGGGGACCCCTGTTCTAAAGGTTTAGTGGAACTCTCAGAATGTGATGGGTTTGTTTCCAAATTAAGAATCATTAAGTTTTCTGTTCTGCATATGCGCCAGAACAAAAGGATCAATTTTTCCAAGTTGGAATCCACCATGGAACAGACTTCTCTCCTACCAGAAGTATCTCCCCAGATAAAAGACACAAAGAGGCACTTACCATTTTATCTCAAGGCCTGACATTTATCTGCAGGCATATGACCATTTTAGCACATGAGACAAATCAAAATTAAATTACATGGACTTTTCAAAAGACCCAAGTCTAAAACACCCCACCATGCACAATGTGGCAGCAATATCATACTAAAGCAATATTCTACCTCTCCTGTGATCCTGGTGGTCTGATGTTTTTTGGTTGATAGACCCAAGTGGTCGGTTTGAAATAGAACTTCTCCCAACTGAGACTGAGGCAGGTAAATGGGCAGTTTGCACTGCTTGTTCCAGGGTTGGACTCTTTCTCAAGTGATCTAAGGGAGGCGGGGTTGACCGAGCTGAAACAGAAGCAGGAAAACAGTATTAGCTTAGGCTCTCCTTTAAGGATTCCTTGGAAATCTACTAATTCACTTGAAGAAGTCATAGCAATAGCACTAGCAACAGCACTTAGACTTATATACTGACTCACAGTGCTTCCCAGCCCTCTCTAAGTGGTTTACAGAATCAGCCTCTTGCTCCCAACAATCTGGGTCTTCATTTTACCCACCTCGGAAGGACGGAAGGCTGAGTCAACCTTGAGTCTAGTAAGATTTGAACTGCCAAATTGCAGGCAGCTGGCAATTAACAGTAGTAGCCTGCAGTACTGCACTCTAACCACTGCACCGTGGCTCAAAACTTTCTCAAACAGAATTTATCTGTAAAGTTAGATGAAAATATTTCCCCTTTTTCATTTTAAAGAAAGAGAACTCGTCTTGTTAAATCTCTATCTTCAGCCACTAATTCTCTTCCCATAAATTATTTTCCTTTCTCTTTTAAGGAGGAAAGGATCCAGTAATACTGGATCTGCCAGATTTAGGTGGGATGGATAGGTTTTATCACTTAAATTTGTTCATGATACAGCATTAATGTTTTATAGTCATTTTCTTAAGACAACAGCTTAAAAAGAGAGCTTGAACAAGAAGGAAATTGCTTTAAGTTCTAGGAGTCTTGTTATCTGGTTGGAAAAACAGACTGTGTATCCTCATTGCACAGAATTAATTCTGAGTTTTTTGGGAAAAGAATAAATAAACACTTTCAATTATGTTTAATTATGGTGTTAATGTTATAATATTATGGGATTTCATTAATCAGATCACTGAAAATTCTAAAAAGTAGTACTATTATTTTTTCAGAAAGTTTTTTCTTCCAAGTGAAATATATTCTGACAAGTTTTTGAAATAGGTTATGAAATTATTCAAAAAACAAAGCCACCAGTAGATATATTAGTGAAGGGCACAAACAATATTTTGAATGTTTAAGTTTGAAATACATTGTTTTGAGCTCAAAATATTTTTGGAATCATAAAAGAGGACTGGAGCAATTCTGGTAAAGTTGGACCAACTGTTTTGAATTTGAGAAGAAGCATCCAGTTTTGAAACATGCAGAATTTGAGATGTTTTGATTACCACTACAGAGCAGGCAAAATAATGTGTAATGATAGAGTAAAACCAACCAAATACAATTGTACTTGAAAGCCAGAGAATACAAAATAATATTTTCTTTATACCAAAAAATGTAGTACAATTGTTCAGGATCTTTCAAAAGTGACAGCACTCAGAAGATCCTATTCATAGACTTCAATAAACCTAGAGCCACTCAGGTCCAATCAAGGCCTACAATTTATCACAGCTTTTATAAGCTTGTTGTCTGATGGAGAGTATTTAATCAACACCTCATTTGCAATGAGATAAAGCTTTCAATAATGATGCAAGAATCGGGTTATGACTTATGGCCACAATTGAACCCAAAATTTCCGTTGCTAAGCAAAACAAGTGAATTTCGTCCCATTTTACATCCTTTCTTACCACTGTTGTTAAATGAATCACTGCAGTTGTTAAGTAACATGGTTGTTAAGTGAACCTGGCTTCCCTATTGACTTTGCTTATCAGAAAGTTGCAAACAGTAATCACATGACCCCAGGACCCTGCAACCGTCATACATACAGATAAGAGATTATCAGTTGGAGGGGACCTCGTAGGTCATCTACTCCAACCCCCCGCCCAAGCATACATGGCTGTTGCCAAGTGTCTCAATTTTGAACATGTGACCACGGGGATGCTGCAGTGGTCATAAGTGTGAAAAACAATCATAAGCCACTTTTTTCAGTACCGTTGTAACTTTGAATGGTCCTTAAACAAATGGTTTTAAGTCAAGGACTATCTGTATATCCAGCCAGAAATATATGAGGGTCTGGGAATCTAGATTCCTTCTACGGTATGTTTGTTTGCATTTATCGCTGCTGACTGGTACTCTTAGGTAGAAAACAGACTACTCTCAAGTAAGGGATTTTAGAAATTATATCTGCAATTTCCTGACTAAGATCTAGTGTGGTCCAAAATTCAAGGACTTTCAGCACAGAGGCTTTAATATCCGATATGGAGAAACAGGGCAGGGCATATAAAAATGTTGTGCTTTGCTTAAACCTGTGCTAGCATTACTGTTTGGAGAGCAGAGATTTATAGCAGGGGTCTCCAACCTTGGCAACTTCAGGGCTTGTGGACTTCAATTCCCAGAATTCCTCAGCCAGCTTTGCTCTGATTTATAGAACACATATTATTACATTGTGGAACACATGACAATCATAAGGGACGTGAAAGGATTAATTCTTTACCTTGAGAGTGCTGTGTTTTTAGTGATCTTGCATCTGTGGTAAAAGTGGAACCAACTGCACTGTTTTGGGACAAACTAGTACTTGCTGGAGTTTCTGTTCCAAACGATGTTAACGAATTTCCTGCATCGACAAAAGAAATATTATTTTTACGCCTTTTAAAAAACATTTTAACAGATGAAGTCACTCAGCCACCTTGGGTGTTGGCTATGTGTTGCGAGCTCTGTACGGTTTTGCCCTTGAAGGCCACTCAGAAGCTCAATTCACCCAAAAGGCTTCGCTCTTTTTGCCCATAAGATCCCTTTACTGTGCAAATATATCTTTTTGCTTGCTGAAGAAATAAATAATGCAGCTTACCAACACCAACAGCCCCGAACTGTTGGCTCACTAATGGGCTTGGACTAAACTGACTGTAGGCCGGCATTCTGCCGAAAGGACCATAGGAACCCACAGACTGGAATGAAGAAGTAGACGATGAACCTAGGGAAGACTGAAGAAAACAATATTTGGAAGAGACTCATCAAGACAGAGAAAAACAGAGCCCCAAAAGAGAATTTGTGCTGTTTTCTAGAAATCAGCAATAAGAACAAAAGAGGCTCTTCTTTTGTCTTAACAATGTGGCATACAAGAAACGCAATTGTCCATTTATAAAAATTCATTTTACACATTGGAGACATTTTGATTTTCATCAGCTCATTAGCCATTAATTAAGATAACAAAGTATGGAATAACAATGACTTCAACCTGAATACGAGGCTATGTCTACTAAAACTCTGAAGTTATGTTGGCCACTCCCTCTTATTGTTTTGTTATCCTAGCAGCAACATGCATGGTGTCAGCTGGTGCTCCATTCAAAATCCAAGAAAGAAATACTCTTTTAATCAGAGAAAAGATATCTTTTACCGGAAATCGAGTGGTAGCAACAAAAGAATTCTGAATCTGAGAAAATGGGCGCGTAAATCACATATACAAAGTAATGGCAACGTTCCCGCCCCCAATAGTTCAATTGGCTCATCCAATTAAAAGTTGTGTATATCATCATGTGAGCATCTCCAGGTGGTGATGAGGCTTCTGTCCGTTGACCTTGACATAGTTTGATAAAGGGTTGCAGCTGCGCATAGCATAGGATAGAAACCTAAGCAAGAATGTACACGCCCCCCCCAGCTTACACAGTTCTGGTTTGTAACACCTCCAGCTCACTTCCCATAACCATTGCCCCCTCCTCCCCCCATTTCTTATGACAGCCGAAAGATGCAACGTAAAGGGAGAAAAATCTTGAAGGAAAAATCTTGAAGGCTGACACATGGCGAATTAGCTTTCTTCACACTTGCATCATTTGTACATGTGTTGCTGATTTATAAGCACTTGCTAAGGCATTTGCTAGTGTTTTCTCCTGTGGAGATGTGGAAAAACATTGTTCAAAGGCTCTGAATCATGGCGCTTGTTAGTTTTTCACCTGGTTTGAGGTCCAACCTCTAGCGTGCAGGGAGGGGAAATCCCTCAAAGTGCTGGAGGAACAGACTTCAAATTTAATATCCTTCCCCCTTCCCATTGACATTTTGGGGAAATTGGCAGAGATGATTCCAAATGACATGACTGCAGGGCACTTGGCAACTGGTCATAAATACGAACTGGCTATCGAACACCTGAAATGCACCCTTGTGATGGGAAGCAGGCAACAGCATGACGTTTTACATTGGCCAGAAGTGCTGTAGCACACCCATTCTGAAGCTGTTGTAACTGCAAATAGTTATTGATGACCAGCTGTAAGTCAAGGACTACATATTAGATATTGGCCTTGATCATTATTTTATTAAAAGTACTACTATTTAAGATTCATGACATCCTGTTGGTAATTGTGTTATATAAAATTTAAGCTTTATTAGCAAGTAAATAAATTAGCGATAGTTAGCATTTCAGCATGGCATTCATGTCTCTTTTTGAAGTTTAGGAAATCATGTTTTCCCCTTGAGCCAAAGCTATTTTCTTTGATGTACAAAAGCTAGCCTTTTCAGCATCCAAACAATAGAAGTGTCCTCTGAAATCCTTTATTAAAGTTGCAAGTGTTAAAGAAACAAACCCCTGAGAACAAAAGGAAAAGATGTAATGCACTTTAAGGATTTCTGCCTTTTTTCACATGTAACAAAACATAAGCCTTGATTGCACAACAATGTTATTTGTTTGATTTGTTGCTTTGCATATATAAAGCGTCTCATTTATTTCTGTACCCCATATAAAGACTTGCCCATTCCCTTAACAAATGCCTCTCTCTTTGCCTCAAGCACTTGTAGTTCTATTGTTGGGGATAGAGAGGAGTGAAAATTCCATTATGCAAAGGTATTGGATGTTTTTCTCTCAAATTCAAGGAAATAAGACAGCAAATATTTATTTTTAAATATTTAAAACACATACACACATACATCCATTTTTCACTTTTCATGATTAGACACGACTCTCATAAAACTCAGTGTGTTATAGTGTGATACCTGAACAATTGCTGGATCTTGGGGAAGAGAACACTGTGGTTTCGGAGGTTCACAAACAGTCAAATCCTTAATATCACTTCCACGGAATATAATATATTCGAATACTTCATCACGAGGTGGTATAGGCCGATCAGTTGGTCTGTCTTCAGTTCCAAATGAACAAACTGCAGAACAAAACAATTTTATATTAATATTATATGCAAACAATTCAAAAATTTGGATCATTAAGTATTTGCTCTAAGCCAAGGGTGTCCAACTGCACTGAGTGAAGAAGAATCGTCTTGGGCAATAGTTAATGTACATAAATCACATATTAATGTTACAGTTTACAATCTTGTGGCATGGCATTACTAGCTGTCCAGGGTTGCATGCAGTGGGCTACAGGTTGGACATACCTGCTCTAAGCAATCCTAGAGCAATATCACTCATACATTTGGTCTACTATGCAGGGGTGAGATTTGACAGGGTTAACTACCGGTTCGGGATTTACGAGCTTCCCTGCACACTGTGAGCCGCGCGCCTGTAAATCGTCATCATTATGCTGTGTGCAGAAACGCAGCCTTTGAAACAGCCCTGTTTTCCTGCTTTTTTAACAGCAGCTGTGGCTCATTCAGCAGCTGAAGTTGAAAAATCAGGAAATAAAGATCAGATAAGAGCCCAGGTGGGTGGGTGGGTCGGTGGGCAAAAACATCAGCAGACATAGAACCGGTTCTATGTCTGCTGCTCTTCAGAGCTACCTGTTCTATAGAGGTGGACAGAACCGGTAGAAACCCACCCCTGCTACTATGCCAATATTTTCAAATGAACATGCTTTCTCAAAAATACAGGAGAGCTAAATAGAGGCATATCAATCTGAAACAATGTCTTACTTATTACAACATTTGTATGCGGCTCAGTGATGAATCTACAAAAATCTGTCACATCATGCCTAGCTACCAATAGTCCATCAAACACAAGCAACCAGAACAATTCAGTGTTGTCTCAAGCAGAAGCTTTATCGTTAGTCACCTAAGTTACAAGAATCTCACCAGATGGACAGACTGCATTCCCTGTGGAACGGCCAGATAAGGTTTGAGAGATTTTGCAGGCCAGGCTTGTGCTGCGTTTTGCAGTGCAAGGACTCTAAGCTTGACCCCCTCTTAACACCGCCCTCCACTCTAGCTGGAGATCCTACCAGAAAACACTGTTCAAACTAAACAAATTCTTACTAAAACAGTAATACCCTAAGGAGAAAATTAAGAACAGCTTCAAAGAAAGGAATAGCTGAAAACAATTCAGAATACTAAACATTTTAATTAATAACAGCTTGAAATAAGAGCAGAGCCTGTTTAAAATGTATTTCAAGGCTACAAAACAAGGAAACTTGCAAACTACCTGCCCTTTCAAGTGGATATAATTTTATTATTCTACAATGCCAATATTTTTAATCTGTCCTTTTAAATTAAATTAAAAACAAGCAGCAGTTGATATAGAAGTGGAACATCTGGGAGTAGCAGGCTAGTGATGTCAATAGTGTTGACTATAATCATTAATGCATCCGTTGGTTTAGACCAGGGGTGTCAAACTCATGCCATCACAGCTGCATCACTTCAATAAACTGGGCATGGGCAGTATATGACGCATCCAGCCCATGGACCAGGAGTTTAACAGCCCTGGTTTAGAGAACAGCAGGTTAACTCCTTGCAGAAACACCTGAAATGCCATTCAGATCCACAAATTTGATTTAGAACAAGAAGTAGCCCACATTTAGCAATTGGGACCAGCAACTTGAGTGTCAAGCAAGACCATGACTATGGTTAGGATCCTTACTTCACTTTTCCTTTGCTTTACTGGGCTGCAAAAGTCCAAAATGTGAGAGGCCATAGTTACAGTTTCATCGTTGCTTTAACTGCAGTCACTAAAGAAAGACTACTTGTATTGTGGGGGGGAAGAAGTCTTTATATGACAGGGATGGGCAATTAATTTTCCCAACAGACCACATGAGAAACTGGGACTGTTTTGGAGGGCTGAACCAATAGGCTGAATTTAATTCTGCTTAATATTAATTTGCTTTACAAAAAAATTGTAAATTATATGGTTTTAGTTAGCTGCTACTGGTAAGAATCCACATTCTGATTAGCTATGAAAATGTGGAGCATCTCAAATTATAGCAGTAAAAAAATAGTAAATGCTCCAATCATTGCATCATTTCATTTTATATTCAACATAACATACTGTTAACCGTCACACACAAAAAAACAAATACTGACAATTTATATGCTTTGCAGTATGTTAAAACAGTGGTCCCCAACCTTTTTTGTACCAGGGACCGGTTTCAAGCAGAAAATTTTTGCAAGGACCGGGGGGGGGGGGGGGGGGGGGGAG